AAAATCCCCTGGCAAGCTGGTAAATCTGAGTGCAGGAAATGAAGGAGACATGGAGTCGCCTCCCTCAGTACCAACTGTCAACGTGACCTTCAGCAGGACACTTCAAACCCAGCTGCTCGCTTCACTTCTAAGAGACTATGAAATACTCAGTGAAGGGGGAAAAATGCAACGTTTGAAAGGCTCGAAGGTTCGACGATGTGACTTAACAGACCTTATGTGCTCTGACGGCTGTGATGTTCAGGAGACAGCAGCATTAATGTGACGCCACCAGTGCCACATGTCATCAGAAGTGTGCTGCAAGGTTACACATGGAGGGACAGAGATGAGCTAAAGAAGCTGCACAGTCCCGAGTGAATGATTGGCTCAGTGTGTCTCTTAATGGGCCACTGGAGACAAGCTGAACATGAACATCAATGAATGAATGGGTTAGTAAACTGGTTTGTGAATGACTGGATTAAACTGTGGGTCAACACGTCTGTCTGTCAACCTGTTAATCATGTTTTAAACGTAATCGACTCTTATGACCTTGTGACCTCTATAGCGCCACCCTGAGGTTAGCATGCCTGGTTTTGAGTGAAATGTCTCAATAACTGTTTGAAACTTTGTTATGTACATTCATTTCACACTCAGGATGAACTTCAATAACTTTGGGAATCCTTGACCTTTTCACAACTACTCTGATATCTCACTTCACTAAAAAGTAATGGAGCAGGTAAAGTTGGGCTGCTACAACTACTATATATTCTAACTATATTAAAACATCATTATGTATTTTTTGTGGATAATATTTATGGGTTGAATCTGAATGGAAAATGGCAGAAAAGGTACAAGTACAAGTTCCTCAAAATTGTTACTTTTCCCTACTGACTACTCATAATCACCATTTAGAATTTGCAATTCCCATCAATCTGTAAAATGTGTTTTGAAAAAAGGTTAGCGTGTGAAGATTATATGGTAAGATGGTACATGGTGCACATGTTACACCTCATAAACATCAATAGTTTACCATTTTCCTTGTGTTAGCCTAGCATGCTGATGTTAACATTCAGCTAAAATCACTGCTGTGCTTTGAAATAAAAAGTGTGGCTGTGCACCTGAATAACTAATCACATATTGTATTATTTATGTATTATTTTTCCAACCACAAACTATATATATTACTTTAAAGGTACATTGTGTAGAATGTTGTGATATCTAGTGTTGAAATTGCATGTTGCAGCTAATACCCCTCACCTCACCCTCTCCTTCCAAACATGAAAAAGAAACTGTGGTAGCCTTTAATTGTCATAAAAACTCAAAAGGTGTTTAGTTTGTCCAATCTGGACTACTGTAAAAAACATGGCGGCCTCCGTAGAGAGGACCCCCTCAAAGTAAATATAAAGTATTTAAATAATAAGGTTCTTTTCTGGGGTAAAGAAAACTACGATTCATACAATTTAGATGTAACAAACTTAAATTTCTGCCAATAGTTTCCTTTCACCTAAATCTTAAACACTGGACCTTTAAAAGAAAAGTAAGGATGTACTAAAATAATTAAGTGATGAAGTTAAATCATACAATACTGTGAAATTCAACTGAAGGAATTAGACAGTGAGTAAATAATGCTGACTCATGTTAACATGATGGAATGTCAGAGTCTGACCACAGCATGACTCATGATGGTGTGATGGCGTTGTTACGGTAAAGAGAGTGATGAGCGGGGCAGACCTCTGCAGTAATGGCGGCATCATTAAACAAGGCCTCATCAGTTACCATGGAAGCTTATTCATGGCCGGAAAAACCTTGAGAGGCTTATTCTGAGCCTAATCAGCTGCAGTCGCTCCACAGAGAGCACAATGAGCAGCAGAGGATCACGTCATAGTTTGTGAAGAAGCATTTTCAACCTTGGAGACGTTGAAACATTCCTCATTACCAATTCAGCTTCTGATGAATCACAGAGGTGTGACATCATCATGTATCACTTTACTTTACCGTCTTTATTATACAGCGCAGTGTTGGCATGTGTGAGTCTATATAAAATCCCCTGTATATCTAAAACATGGTGGATGGAGTATAACAGGTTTGTAGGTGGGCAACTCATGTTAGAATTAGGGAGAGGGGATAGAAAAAAAAATCAAGATGACCTGGATTTCATATGCGCTCGTTCATATCGCCATGTGGGGAGTCACCATTGTGCCATCTCAAGTAGCTTTGTCTGCTCGGCAGATTTTCTAATGAGGGGGTTTTGGAGGAGGATGACAGAGCGCTCTGGCTGTTCTGCTGGGGGAGGAGGTGCATCTAAAGGAAATGAAAAATGCTCTGTCCATGGATATGTCTGATACTAGACAACCCCCACCCTCTCCTCAGATGTCCCGCTGGCAGCTTGGTCGTACCATTAGGACGGAGAAGGGTGGCATTTAGTCTGAAACTCTCATTATGTCAGATACACTGAAAACCTCTAATCTGACACCAAATGATAGGGGTGGAATTAAACCAGGCTGGCCAAGAAAGCAGCAGAGATGGAATTTAAAGTCCTTGGATTGGTTTAGTTTGTCCATTAACACTTGAGTAAAGGCTGTGCTCAGAATATTCACTTGTAAGGAATGACTTTAAGCAACAATCAGTCAATCGTTTTGCTATTTATCAATTGCAATGATACCACCTTCCCCTCTGCTTATATTTACATGGATACCATAATTCCAAAATCAATCCAATTAAAACAATAGTCCTCAGAATGAGAAATGATCAAATTAAGACATGTGGGGTATTCTGAGATCAGTCTCATTATGTCGACATGTATACGTCCCATTGGAGATTTCAAAGCATTTTGCGACATGGAACTTGTCCAACAGTTACCAACTGAATATAATGTTTTACTTGTAACAAGGGTAATCTCTGGATTACTGCTGTCCATTTAAACATAGTCATTGTCTCGCAGGTGTGACTTTCCCAGGAAAAACCTTCTCATGCACAAAAGTTTACTTTTTTCAAACATAAACAGGTAGGAAGGTTAGGTATTGTTAGTAGCTTCTTGTTGTATTTAATCATAAACATTTGAAGGTGTGGCCTGGTTGGTCATGTGATGAAACATTTAGGCCTCAAAAGAACCATCATCGAACATTAGTGGTTTCCACATCCAGCCGATTATTCGGATTCGCTCTTGTCATTATTTGGTTTGTTGGAAATATTTCACAAGACGTGTGGTGTGAATGAAGACTACTGTCGTCAAATCTAGTCTAATTTCATACTTGTCATTTCATTTGGTGGCTTTATCAGGTGTCACATTTTTCTGTGGCTGTTTATTGGAGATATTAAACCCAAAGTATGCGTGAGCACGGATTAAAGGGTTGTTTCCTAAAGGAGGTACAAATATCGGTGAACACGGCCTACACACATGCCAAGCTGTGTGAAGAAGCCAAAACTGGATTACTGTAACAGCAAGACCAAAAAGCTAATCAGCGGTTTTACTGTTAACATGTCACAACAATTTTCAGCCAGCAACTGGATTTTTCACGTTTGATCCTGCTACACCTCATATCCACTGAAAATACTGTATATGAGTGAATAGAAATAGTGTTTTAAATGGACACCAGTAACCATGATGTCACATGAGGGCCATCTGCTGGATCATTACCACATTACAACATATAACCCAACCCTCAGTATTTAGTGGATGACACACCACTTCATGTCGAAATCAAAATCTGGACTGTCACTTCAACCCCATAATGCATTGTTGTCTAAATAGATATAAAATATGTTGCAGTGTGTATCAAAACCTCTTTTGAATGTACACATGGTGTCAATTTACCAAATTATGGAAACTTTGTGGGTTACTTTGGGTTTTAGACAAGAAGTAAAGTACATAAAACGTAATTTTATGATTTGTTTGGAGTTTGTCCTTTATGCTCACTTTATATAAACTTTATATTCTGTGCTACTTTGAATGCATAATCTGTCTGGTGTGATTTAAAGCTATTGTTGTCTTACTTTATACTGTGAATGACCTTGTTCTAAATGTTATTGTGTGGGGGAAACACTATTGAATTTATGACTCCTTATTTTAAATGAATTTACTTGCTGACTATAAAAACATGCAAGTACTGTCTAAAAGGTAGAGCTGTCCTAACTGGGCTTTCAAAATAAAAGCCCCAAACCTGAAAGGACTGCTCCCCTTCGCTGTTGCATGTTTATGTCCAGTTTTCCAAAGGTTTTTGTTGTCCACTAAAAGACTTTCACATGTTTTAATTTAATCTTAAATCCTCTGTGATATATATTAATTTATATCCAGTTTGTGCTTCATTAATTTTAACTGTTGTTTTGTTGGCCTTGCTTTCGTTTCTATGTTGGATTTGCACAATTGCAAATTCACAGGCTTGCATATTATCATGATTTAATATTAATAAATATCAAACTGCATGATAATAAGTAAAGAATAAGAAGATAATGCATTATTGCTGATTAAATATTACATGCAAAATTATAAAAGTGCAGTTTATTTTATTATGGAAGAGGAATGAGTAGGACTGGGCAATAAACCAATATCAATAATGTTAAAAATATAATTTGTATTTATAGAAACAAAACTAAAGTCTGATGCATATCGATATAATGCATTCATATTGCTGTTTATTAAGTATTTGTCATTCTCAAGAAGAATTTAAAACCACAACCTTCAGTCGGGAGCAATAATCAACCAACTTAATACATATTTATTTTATTCCATTTCATTTTTATCATTAGTGTTTTATATATTACGTATTGTTGTTTTCTTGTGGTACCTTTTACTTTGTAAAGCAAACAAGTTTTTTTAAATATGTTATGTAAATAAAGTCGACAGAAAATAGATGTGAAATTTATCATGACAATTATCGATATGGACTATACATATTTTTATCTCGATATAATTTTGCCTTTGTGGCCCAACCATGGAATTAAAATATATTTCTTCTTTGCCTGGTCCAGCACAACAACATTTATTTTGAAAACCCGATGTAACCGGATGTCCCCCAGTAAACATTTCCAGCTGGACGTACAAACGCACGCACACACGCACACAAAGCAGTGCAGGCTATGGTGGCAGAAGACGCGCAGGGACCGAGCTCATCTCTTATCAGCGCCTGACCCGCAGCAGTCACCGGTACCTCTGGATGAGAGGAGGAGGAAGAGGAGGCAAAGGAAGAAGATGTCTGTGAACGAGGTGTACGTGTTCCGACCCTTCAAGCTGATCGCGCTGCTGTGCGTCTTCCTGGCTCTGTGTCTGGACGTGGTGGCTCTGCTGAGTCCCGCCTGGGTCACCGCCGACCACTTCTCCCTCTCCCTGTGGGAGTCCTGCTCCCAGTCCAACGCACGGCACCCGGGAGAAGAGCCTCAATGGAGCTGCTTCTCCACACTCACGTCTGGTAGGAAACATTGTTTTTAATGTTTATTTTCATTCCATGTGCTGTTGTTTGTAACTTTTCCTGGGGGTTGGGACACAGTTAGAAGGTAAATTCATATAGGGTGAAGGCTGGAAGGGATTTTTTTCCACTTACGGCACATGCGTAATGCTGTGGTGCTCATCCCTTGTGTTGTTGAGGAGGTGGTTTTAAAGCAGCATGTTATCAGTGGCTTGTTTTCATCATCAGCCACAAAGAGGCTGCACACACACACACACAAACACACACACACACACACACACACACACACACACACACACACACACACACACACTGTTGGAATTCAAACAAAGAGTGAAGTTCAGCAGCCATCCCCTCCTCTCCATGGGCACAGTCTGTTTTAGTTGTCCCTGTTGGTCTCTGTCCAGCAGCTCAGGCGTTCACGGTTTCTTGTGCTGCTGATACATTTCCTCTCTTCATACCAGAGCAGTGACGTGGTGTCACTGAAGACAAACAGTGTGATGCTCAGCCCAGTCAGTATGGGGCCACTATAGTTTAGGAGCAAGCACGAGAAACAACAGAGTTTGAAATGAGACCATGTTGACTCAGTAATAACTATCACTGTTGTTATCCACACAGAGATAAATAAATCTGTCAACTGGAGGTGTGAATGTTTATTCTATGTGATAATGTGAAAATAACAAGTCCAGTGTGTAAGATTTATGTGAAAGGGATCTATTGGCAGAAACCTAGTGAAACCTCTTATTAGTGTGTTTCATCTAACTTGTATGAATTGTTGTTTTCTTTATATTTGAATACTTTATATTTCCATCAGGAGCGGGTCCTCTCTATGGAGGCCAACATGTTTTTTTTACAGTATCTCAGACTGGACAAACTTAACAAATGAAGGTTTCCACAGGTTCTCTCTCATGTTTGGAAGGGGAGGGTGGGGTGAGGGGTAATCACCACTAGATGTGACTAAATTCTACACACTGAACCTTTAATAATATTTCCATGTTTAGGATAAGAAAATAACCAAAATGAAAAAAAAAAAGCAATATAGCAAGAGTTCAATGTATGTATTGATATAAAACTTAAGCACTGTGTGAGCAAAGTGAGGAGGGATATCACATACTTGATCAACGGCAGATTTTAAAATATTTTGTGCTTTTTTTCAAGAGATTAAAACCACAACCTTCACTTAGGAGCAAAAATCCGTCTTTAGACTTCAAAGAAATAACAATGTGACGTAAATGTCGACTGATATGAAAACTTTTCTCTTGATCAAGTTTTAAAGCCATATCGCCCGATAGCTTCACATGTAACAAACATCATCCTCTTTGGCACACACACACTCCCACAGCAGAGTTCAGGCTTTGAAGAGACACACTGAGCATCTTCCCCCATCGTCATCCACCTCACCAGGCCCGGACCCACCAGGCCGCCTTTTGTCCAGCAGAGAAGCCACATGACGGGTGTTTACGCCCTCGACCCCCTTCCTTTCTCCCACTGGGGGGAGGAAATCCGCTTTAAACGTACCAGATTTACCAGCATTTGGCCGGTGGCTGGTACAGTGCTGTAGGTTGGCTTAGCTAGAGCCTCATCTCTAGTATTCATACAATAACTGACTGTAACAAAGGGGAATAGATAGCTTAAAATAAAACTGTATAGAACTAAATATAAATCTTGTCCTGGTTGGTTGATAAATATATATATATAAAATATTAACTTTAACAGTCGTGAGCGACTTTTGCTGCTTATCTACCACCATCACAGACTCAAACAGGCACAGCTACAAAGAGGGAAACACGAGCTTGGTGTGGCTGAGTGCTCTCTGATATTGTGGAATGTGTTAGGGTGAATAGGAGGCGGGTTAGTAGCTGTGAGTGTCTGCAGAGCTCATTAAGGCAGCGGTGGAGGGGGGTGTGTTGGGTTAAAGGTGCAGTTCACCAAAAAGGCAAAGCAGATTTATTTACGCGCATATTTTCATACGTGTATCGCCAGCGTTGTTCAGTTGCAGATAATCTTTGGAGCGATGTGACACGATGACAGGCAGAATAAGCTGCAGGCGTCTAAAGTAACGCAGATGAAAACAGTATTAACACTCAGCCTCAGTGAGTGATGGAGAAATGTGATGTGAGAACACAGTTTTTTTTAGTTTTTTTTTTAGAAGAGTTCACCACATAGAAGCTACAACCACATAATGGAGCAAAGATGTCAGGGGAAAAAAGTATTTCCTGAAGGATGAATGAAGTGCAGTTCACATGCGTCATTGTCAATATGTTGATTTCCACCACATTGAAGACAATCAGCTCACAGAGCGACAGAGACACACCCAGCGTTCACTCAGCTTCATCAAATGCAAATTTTCCTTTTGACGCTCATCTTTTGAGGTCGGACTTTTTTTCTCCTGACAGTGATGAGTGGGACATCAAAGAGAGGATACTCGGCAGCGCAGGCAGGGATAGAAGGCTTCATCATGTTTCTCCTGAATGCATTTGTATCTGGTTTCAGACTCTCGCTCTCTCTCTCTCTCCCTCTGTCAATGCATTTAAGAATAAAGAAGCTCAGTTTAAATCTTTAAAAAACGCTGTAAAGGGATGTGTAGGTATTTCCAGGGATGAATCCTCTGACGCACATGGAACCGATGAGTTCTGCTTTTCCAGCAGGAGCTACTGCAGTTTGTTTGCAATAAACAGATTAAATGTGCTGTTAAAAAGCCACCATGACATGGAAAAGGTTAGTGTGAAGTATAAACTATCACCAATACTGAAGTTCCTAAAAAAAAAAAAAAAAGGGAGTTATATTAAGCCTAGGGTACAGCTGTGGTTGGAATATTATTTGAGATGTTTTCAGACATTGGGGCAGGACATTTTCAGTAGTTTGGTTTTCTAAGGGTCAGACATGTTCCTAACAACAGGAAACAGTCTGGAGCATTCAGGAGAGGGGAGGCGTCTGGGTACAGCATCAAGTAGGAAGTGATAGATCCCTCTCGCAGGACAGACAGAAGTGCAAAAGACGCCACTTTTAATGTCCAATCCAGGTACATTCTGCTCATTTAATCCAGTGACGACTGAGTTACCATTTAGGTTATGTGTGTTCCTGATGGCTCTGTCATGCAGGCCTGAGTTTGTTCTGCCTCACTCACTTCACTCTGAGGGATCAGCTCTTGTTTTGTGTTTGTCAGCAAAGCGCTTCAATTCAACAATCAAGCTTTTGTGTTTGTGAGTGCGCTCCTCCCTCTCTAACCTGCGTGTGTCCCATTCCCGCAGACTGGCAGATCGCCACACTGGTGCTCCTGGTGGCCGGCGCCGTGGCGACTCTGGTGGCGTTTTTGGTGGCCCTCATATCCCTCTGCCGGGGGACTCAGAGACAGCACTACCGCACCGTGGCTGTGTTCCTCTTCACTGCGGGTACGTCTTTTTCTCCACCTCCCCCCATCACCTTGCCACCACACAGCTTCTCAAAACATCACCCTGCATGAATATATACAACATTGGAAACAGAAAGGCAGCTCATATGCGTTCACCACAACAATTTCCATACACACAGTGTTTTTCTTTTTTTGGTTCCAGTGCTCACTTTAAATAAAAGGGTGCAGAAGAAAAGAAGCTTGCTTGTTGAGCTCATTTTTCCTGCGGTGAGGAGCTGCAGGCTCGTGTGCCAAGAAAAAGTAGCCGCAGAATTTGCAGCCTTACCAACACAGTGAAGTCACTGAGCGAAAAAACCCACAGACTCTTCAGCCAGCACTGCCTCAGCGTTGACTGCGCTGTGTGCTTTGTGAGAAGGTCCCGCGGTTGAAACTAAAATTTGACACCGAGGGGGAGGATCTATATGAAACACACAATTATAAAGAAAAGTTTTAGCAGAGCACATTCCTTCATATACTATACAGCCATTGAAGTAACTGCCTCACAGCCTGTGCTAACTCTGTTTTAAGAACCGTGATGAAACACTAACCACTAACCACTGTTTAACTCTGCCCAGTCTGTTTCCAAAGTAAAATTGGATTATGTAATAAATCAGACATCCTGTTATGTGTCACAAGTAATATTCCACCTCCTGCAGTTTTTCATCACGCCTGCAGTTTCAACTTAACACAATAAATGGGAGATCCATCGTTTCTTGGGTTTGTTGATGGTAATTTCTCTCTTATATCTAATGTAGCATGTTTTTTCATGAACAGGGTTGCTACCTCCATCAAAGAAGTAATGTTTCCACCCCATCGCACAAAAACAACAGATTGGATTTCCACAAAACTTCGTTTGAAGGATGTGGTATGCGACTGATAGGAGTAATTTGGTGCAGATCCAAATAAAAATCGGAATCTGGTGAATTTAAATGTGGTTTCATAAGGGGACTGCTGGTCTCTTGTTTGCAAATGTCTTCTTAAACAAACATCAATCAGTGAACCTTCCAAAGATAAATCAGTCAAAGCATTAGCACAAATTCCATGTCCAACAAACCTCAACATCCATATTTGGATATTTTAGTTTTCCCAAGGAAGTATTCATGGGTCTGGATGAAGAAAAAGAGGCACATTAAGGGAACTAATATCTATGAGTGTGTGTAATGTGGTGCAGCTTGAATGAATTTAAGGGGACTGCTGGGCCTTGGCGGTGGTATGTGCTCTACTGAGTGCCATTTTAGTTTCCCTCCGTTTCCAGTCTTTGTGCTTTGTTACACATTTAACAGTCACACACGAGTGTGGTATACGTCCGTCCATCTACGCAAACTCATCCATAGGAAAGAAAACAAGAATATTTCCTTGAAAACGGCCAAACCATCTGTCTCTTAAGTCGTATGTCCTGGAAAGACACAAGTACATTCATCCGTCCATTATCTATACTGCTTATTTGAGGTGAAGGGCTGGAGCCAATTCCAGTTGGCGAGGGGCGGGGGTATACTCTGGACTGGTCATTAACAAGTATATTACTGTAACAACCTGATTAAGACAACACACTGATTAATCTAGTAATTTACATTTGCTGTATTTCCTAGATTTGAGGTAAAAATAATATTGGCAAACTGTGATGGAAGGTCAATGTAAGAGATTTTTGTCTTGTTCCGTCCCTGAAAATATCAGTCACAAAGGACCAGTGTGTGCAGCCATTTTAATGGCCATGTCTGCATGACTGTTAGCCATTTACTGAAAAGCGTGGGAATGCAGTGTTATCCTTTCCTGTGTGTAATTGCTTTAAGAGCCTTACGAGAATAAGGCCTCCTCACAGACACACAGTCCTCAGCAGCAGCAGCAGCAGCAGAGGGGATAGTTGTTAAATGCCCGTTGGCAGCAGCGTGGCTGTGTGGTATTTATTTTCTGTCCAGAAATATGACCTCAGTGGGCTGCGAGCTCAGTCTGGGCTCCATCAACACCACTGCGTTCTTCAACTGCCATCGGTCCTATTGCACAACCACCGTGCCGTCCTGTAGGAAGGAAAGGTGGAGCCGCGCTTACAGAGTCTTTTCCTCAAGAGTCCCTGAGCACGAACGGAGAGGAAACCGCTGTGAGGGCGGACCACAGTTCCTCTTTGATCACATACATGCACCACAACGTTATAGTTCAAGAATAAAGGCGATTGTAAGACTTATGACTAAAGGTGACCTGGTCACTCTGCTGTTCGAGCTCCCAGACTGTGGAAGGCTCTACCTGTTGAAGTCAGAAAAGCAACATCATTGGCATTTAAATCTCTTCCTAAAACTTTCCTTTATCACAAAACATTTATGAATACTTAATACGTTGCTGGATTTTATCTTCCCACTCTTGACATTTTACTATTTTAACTTTATTTCACCTCCCTGTGTTTATATGTTGTTGATCCTTTTGTTGTCTTGGTCTGTGGTTTTTATTGCTGTTTAGGTTCTTCTTCTTCTATGTAAAGCACTTTGTAACCTTGTTAAAAAGTGCTATAGAAATTACATAAACAAATAATAGTATATAAATAAAGTATTATTTTTATTATTATTAAGTTCATTCCACATTTCACTAAGTAAAGCCCCTCCCAGACTTTACCTTGTGCTGTTTAAGTCAATCACTGTCGAGGAAAAGAGTCCTTACTTTGAACTGAACAAGAAATCCACAGGGAGATGTGTCACATCAACAACGTCTCTTTCAAAGTGTTGTCCTTTTATGGAGGTGTCACACTTGGCGAGGAATAGAAATACATTTTTTCTAAAACACATCCTTTATCTTTTCAAAGCAAGGTATGGTCCTCGCTTAAATTGACAATAAACATTTTGTTATGATTCTCTACATAATAAACCAAATACATCAAGGCTATTGTTTTATAATGTATTGCTTGTTTTCAAACCGCTACAAGTCAGGAGTAATACATTTATAGCATTTATTTTAGGTGCAGCAAAGTAATAAACACTATGGTCAGAAGTCATGCTAAGTAGAAATAATACAGAATTAACAATTGAGTATTGGACTTATTTAAACCTGTTTTGACATATGCATAATTTTTTAACTTTAGGCTTCTAAAAACACACAATATTCTTTGTTTCCTGCGACAAGGACATCACCCCTGTCTGTTTTTTTGTTTGTTGAGAAAAATCTGGATCTAGGGAATTAAAATGTGGTTTCATAAGGGGCCTGTTGCGTTACATCTTCACAGGCTTGTTTTCATCTCTAAGTATTCTCTGGTTAACATCAGCAACTCTCAACACCTTCCTTCTCTCTTTCAATCCCTCAGCCTCTTTTCATAACCAGCCACAGTCGTATGTCTGGTGTTTGCAGCCGTGCATTATCTGTCACGTTTGTGTATTTAACGTGAGAGTCGAACAGAGCCAGCACCATGACTTAATGCTTTCAGCGAGAATATAAAGTGTAGGAAGTGGAAGTGTAAAACTCTGCCTGTATGATTTTAATGACATCTCATGTTTGACTCTGTTTTTTTTTTTTTTGCTGCAGTGGTTCTGCAGGCCTGCGCTCTCGTCCTCTACCCGATCAAGTTCATCGATGGAACGGTTCTCCAGACCTACCACGAGTTTAACTGGGGCTACGGGCTCGGCTGGGGGGCCACTATCTTCATGCTGGGCGGAGGGATCCTCTTCTGCCTGCGGACGGACATATACGAGGATGCAATGTACTGAGTCCCTCAGCAACCACCTCCCCCACCCGCACCCTGCTTCTGGAAATACACACACATAAACACACACACAGACGCCCATACAGGCTGCGTGCTACTTTTGTCCACCCTGCAACACGGCCGATGTGTATGCAAGCACAGACCCTGTTTCTATCTTTCTCTCGCCGTCTTGCTCTCTCTGTTATTTTTAGACAGGTCGTGAAGGCCTAAATTAGGCCAGGGGCTGTTTGAATAGGGCCTTCACACCCCCACCCACCCCTCTCCACATGCAGCCAGCAGGTCCCTCAGCCCTGCCGGTGTCAACAGTGAGGTGCAAAAGCACAGAGAGCTTTCTGGACAGGCCGCGAGCCTCCGATGCTGGACGTTTCCACTGCACGTTGGCCCGGATCGCTCTATTGTCAGAGGAACAGGACGGTAGATTCTCCGTGCACATGTGATTGTGCAGTGGCTGGACATTTAAAGGGACTGACGCACACCACAATGCCTTTTTTTATTCTTTTTTGTAGCATTTCACAAGGAGAAGCTTGTTGTTCATGTATTATAGCATCATATCCCACTTTATAAACCCAAACTTGTCCCTTCATGTGTTCTATGGCTCAAACATACCCAGCAAAGTGAAGCCATCTCCTATTAGAAGTGTAGATTAGTCACCTGGAGCGATCAAGTGTTTGTCTGAAAGGAATACGTGTAAATGTGTACAGAGTATTTCTACATGAAGAAGAATACACAGCTGTAGTTTTCGGGATTGTTAGAAAGTGTAAATTATTGTTAAAAAAATCATGTTGCATTCTGACACGGGTGCTTCACAATTTCACCTTTGACAGAAGTTTTAGAGGGACGCCTCCTTCTGGGCCGAATGGCAATAAGAGAAAGAAACTGACGAATATTTTCATTCCTCAGAGGAGGCTGCACCAGGCTGTGTGGTGTGTGAAAATATAATGCATTGGTTGAAAGATAATCAGCAACATAAAAAAGTTTATTGCTACAACCACAAGGCACATTTTGCAATTAAATTAGACAACCGTCTGAGAGTTGGCGTATCCATGTCATGTAATTAACTGAGATATTTTAACTACATTGTCATATTATTTTCTTGTCAAGGATAAATGTGCTTGAAGGGTTACATTTATGATTGTGTTTATTAAACATTACAATCGGAAAAAAGATTAGAGTCATTTTTGAAAAAAATGAAAGGATATTACAGGTTGCAGATCAAACGTTGATGAAAAGCTGTTCATTTATAAGTGTGTTTATGAAAGGAATGTTAAAACAAATCTATATTATTTCCCTGGGAGTTTAAAACAGAAGTTGCTGCCACACGTGAGCAGCCTGGTGTGAAGTCTCCCTGTTCACACTTGTTTTTAACTCCACAGAGTTCAAACTGCAACAGCTGCTCAAAGGATCTTTCTAAAGGGATGAACAGTTTCCGCTGCCGCAACAGTGTGAACGCTCCAGCTGTGAAGCTTCAAGAAAACAAGTATGACACAAAATCATGATGTTAACCTGATGCTTGGCTTTTGTGAGTAAAGTTTTGTTTGAATGTGTGAGGTGCCAGCTCAGTGGTTGTCTTATAATAGCAGTGACCTCTCTGGAATCTTTGAAATGTAACTTACCAGTCAAAGGTGGCATCGTGGTTAAATGACATTGTGGCAGAGAGATCGCACACACAACACGGTGTGTGTGTGTGTGTGAGAAGCTTTACACAGATATAGATCTTTTTTTTTCTCGTCCCAGGTCTTGTGCATGCACAGCATGTTGTCTTTAGTTAAACATTAGAAAGCAAAGTGAAATATTCAGTATGACAGTGGTCAGAGGACAGAGGACTTGGCTGTTTAAACAAGTGGAACATTGACTCACAACCACTTATTCTAAGACTCAGGACACACACAAACACACAATATATCAACGTTGTTACAGTACCTCAGTAAAATGTGTTATGGTTTCATCTGCATTTATTTGTTAGTTAACCGGATTATGTAAAAGCTGCCCAACCAATATCCATTTTGTGGAGGGAGAAAGAATCCGTTAAATATTTGTGTGGCATTTTCCTTGATTTTTCAGACAATATTTCATGGATCTTGGTAAAAAATATTAAGGCATGTTAAGGGGACTGATAATTCCAAGTGTGTGCAATTTGGTGCAGATCCAAATAAATATCTGGATGTAATGAATTTAAATGTGGTTTCATAAGGGGAGTGCCGCAGGAAGTTTCTAGATTACAAATCAGTGTCCCATGGTTATTTTTCTTTTCTTTTTATTTGGAAGGGAGAGGGTTTCAAATTATACACTTTCTAACTTTGGTGTGTTGTAAATGTCAAAGGTGAAAATGTCAGTGGGTGTTCATTCCCAGCCCTCCACCCACACACAGTAAATGCATCGCATGCCTCTGTTTTGCGTGGTTCACTTGTACGAGTGCCACGTCCAACCACACCCACACAATTAAATCTTCCCCCACCCACTGATAATAACTCAACAGTGTTTGGTGCTGGGAGGCTGAAGTTGAGATTCTCTGTCTCAACAGTGAGGTGATATTCCAGCAAGAGGACATTCAGCCAAGAAATGCAGATGCAACATCAGCTGTAATGTGGTTTACATTGGTTTGTTTGTTTTAACTCGTTATCTATGCTTTTATGAAAATAAAGACATGACAGAAACAGAGATAGAGAAAGATATTGCTTATTTTCAAATGTAGCATTTACTTTAGTTTTAGTTAAGACAGACAGGAGAAAAACAAGTAAGAATTTGTAATAGCCGTGTATTATTATATAAAACAAATCCTGTGTCACTGGGGCAGCTGAGGATAATTTCTGTCTCCCTGCAGCTGCTGCTACATTCTCTCATCTCTAAATACTTTGGTTACGACTGCAGCTTTTCCCACAGTTGCAGAGGAGTAGATCAAGTCATGTCAGCAAAGAAAACCAAACCAAACCAAAACACATACTGTACATTTTACTCCAGTTGTCAGGACGGACAGACATTGTGAATCTCATGCAGTGGATAGTATCTGTAGTGGAGATGATGCAGCCTCTGGAGCACAGCTGGCCCCCCGGTGCAGTAACCAGCCAGGCCCTGCTCACTTTCACTCTGCAGGGACAGATTCCAGTTACTGAGCCTGGGGGACAGACACAAACATGGGCCCTGACAGCTCGTTGCCTGAGGAGGGAAATCATTGTTAAAGCGATATGATTATATTTAAGGAAAACCCGAGGGAAGTACGATTGCAAACCTGAAGTAGTCCAGCTCTTCGTGTGATCCTCAGCAGCAGGGGGAGTCTTCTGTAGACAAGGGTCAACAGAGCAGTGAGGCAAATAAATGGACTGAAAAGTAACACCTGGGCTATACATTACCCTCCTACCAGTCCTCCATCAAGCTTGGCTCCGCCAAAATTACACATTAACCTCAGAAAAGGTTACTCACTCCTCCACTATCAGCTTGTGCTGCCCTGCAGTCTGCATGGTCCAGATAAACCCCAGGACTGTGCATGGAAAACCTGGCATGAACACGACACTGGAGTTGCATGAAAAACACTTGAGTGCTTCCTCTTGTTAATCTATCATTCAGTCAGATGCACATCTTCCGTTATCTTAAGTTTTCTAATGCAGTTTCTCTCATTTATTATCTCCTGATTATTTTTTTTAATCTCTGTTTATTATGTAGAGACAAATGAAGTCGACACATCTATCCATAGACACACGTGTCCACGTGGAGGGTGTGGAGCTGGTGTGGGAAGCCGTCAGCTGCTGAGATGACCTTGAGGATGTCCGTGAATGTTGGATAAAACACAAACAGCGTTCAGCCTGGAGTCAGATGGTCACTTTCCCAACATGAAGGAGAGTATCACACAGTGAAAATATTTTATGTAATGTGTACTTATACTGCTAACTGATTAGTTTGGTGAAATCAATATGTTTTGTTTGGAGTCAAGAGAATAGTGTTTGTTAATCGAGAGCAAGGAATATATATGCACTGGATCATAGTGATTTATAAGACTAATGATTTAAGTTGACTGTGGTCTTCCTCAGGAAAATTACCCACACAAAATAACAGCAGTTCAGTAGATCATTCAAACTTCTATACAAACCACACACATGAACAGTAACAAAACTATTTCAGCTTTATTTTATCCTTTGCAGATAAACCAGGTAGGATAAACAAAACTTTCTAACTTCACTCTGCACCACAGACTGTTTATAAAATGCTCTGTCATAGTAAATTAATAATTAATATATAAATGAATAAAACCTGTTATGTTTTAATTATGGTTTTAATAATCCTGAAGCAGCTCTAGAGCATCTCCACAGTCCAAATAACCCATTTCAAACAGGCAGGTTTCTAACAGGCACTATAGTAAATGTGATCAGAGACTGTGTTTTCAACAAGATGACGAGTGGCATCATAGTAGGTTAAATGTGTGTGTCAGAACATCCTAATCAAAAGTTAAATGAAAAATATCAGGTCGCCAGTCCATCACAGGGGGAACATCCAGCATGTCTCTTGACTGTGTGAGAAAACCCACATGCAGAGACAGAACATGCAAACTCAGACAGTTGCAGAAGGTCCTGGGATCCAAACCAACAACCTTCCTGCTGTGAGGCGACACAGGGCCACCATGATAGCATCAATTTCATTTGTGAATGTGATGGGTGCTGTGCATAATCTGAACACTAGAGAGCATCATGAGCATTAGAAAAAAAACAAAGTACTCTCCTAAATACAGACCTAAAGTTCACACTCAACCAGTACACACTCAAGAGTCGGTTCTCAGTGGTAGATCAGGTTTTATTATCAAGTCGTCACCACAATGTTTTGCTTATTTGAAATTATGAGAAGAGACAAGAAGTTCTGTGAGTTCAGTTCATGTGATCAGTTTTAGCTGCAGTGTGCCCCCCTAATCCTGAATAATGATTTAATCTGAGGTATAGGCCACCTCCTTCTTCTTCTTCCTCATAATGAAGAATTTGATATAAATGAAGCATCGCATTAGTTCATGCAGGACACGGAGTCATGTGCTCAGCTGCCATCTACCGAGGTTATGGGTGCTCGTCAGCCACCCACCAATCACAGCCCATTCTCTCATCAAAGCGATCCCTCTGGTTTACCTTAGCACGCTGCTCGGCTCATCCAGGGAACAGACGCAGAATGGAGCCTTCAGCGCCAATAACAACTGTGTCCCCATTTGCAACAAATGGGTAAATCATGACATAGTGTTTCTGACTGAAAAACACAATACCTTCAAATTAGATATGAGTCAAATTTGCCATACATTGAAACAGGGGAATTATATCAAAACCAACGCTTGTTTGAAATATTTTGAAATTAGGAAAATCTAATACCGACCACAAATTACATTGTACCTGTAAAACATTTGTAATTACAGTTTGGTTTCCCAGCACCCATCTAACAAAAATACCTTAAATGTCCCATTTTTTTTCTCTGTTTGAAATAATGAGAGGAAGTGCACCATATACCCCAACATTTTATTAAACATTTTATTGCATAAAAGTTATAATTTTGTAAAAAAAAATAATTCATAATAGGCTCACACATCAATATCATTCAAAACTCCTACATTCATAGAAATAACAGCAGGGAACCATAGATTAAATCATTTAACATGTTTTTTCAAGTTTTCTTTTAATGTTAAAAATAGACAGATCATCAGGTTCCTGGTGTAAATTACTATCATATGCTATGCTATGATAAAAACAACATCTTATGATATACTGACATCATTTAAAAGGCAAGGCAAGGCAAAAATGTGCTTTTTGAGGTCACAGTGATCTTTGACCACCAAAATCGTATCAGTTTATCCATGAGTCGAACTGTAAGAAATGTCCGTAAGGTGTTTAATCTGAAAACATAATGCCTCTGCGCCGGCGACAGAGAGGGACCAGAGGCATTATGTTTTCAAAAAAATTACTAAAAACTGTAAAGAAGTCGTGACATTAAAACTATAAACTACTTTCCTCTTTATAAACCATGTAAATAAATGTAAATCTCTCAGACTTAGACTGTGAATTCTGCCGCCAGTGAAAGTCATGTTGTGTCCAGTAACAGAAAACCATTGCACATATGTGATCGCTGTGTGCTGGATTCACACTGAATAAAATTGTTATTGTCTGAACTAACTGGCAAGATCTGAGGCAAAAAGGAAACAATTAAACTTGAAACAAAGCAATTCCGGTTAATACAAACCATAAAAATGTTGCAGTTGCATGAAACAATCAAATCAAAAGGCAGTGCAATGAGCAGCAATACAATACTGTGTAAATGATTTGTTTTTGTAAATAACATACTGTAACTTTCAGTCTTATATCTTGCATCTACACTCATGTGTCAGCAGTGGTTACAATCTCAGGTAAAGACTGTACACCATCTTTCAGAGCTTCAGTGATCCTCAGTCAGAGCCCCCCTTTTTGTCCCTTCAGGCCTCCATCATTGTCTGAGCTGAATTTCTGACAAACAGGTCGGTGAGCAGAGAGTCCCGCTTCTTCTCTTGTCTTGATGTCCTCCTAGAATGGAACCACAATGTTGGTGTGAGTTTACCATTCAAATGCATTGTCAACAATATATTGCACATGTGTATTTACTCACTGTTTGAGCATTGTCCCCAAACCCAGAGTCAGCACCAGTGTGGCAGTGATGGCAACAGCAATGTATACATAGAGTTGTACCTTTTCCCATTCTGGTTTTGGGCTGACTTCTTTCATTTCTAAAGCACACACAGACACACACACACACACACACACACACACACACACACACACACACACACACACACAAGTCAGACACATTTAGAGGATTGATATCTATGAGTGGATGCAATTTTGGTGCAAATCCAAACAAAAAACTGAATCAAGTGAATTTATTCATTTTCTAGTTTACAAATATCTTTGTCAAGAAAACATCAATGAACCTTCCAAAGATAAATATATCGAAATCCCCTAACTAACTTTAACTATAACTAACTAACTTCAAATGCTGAATACTGATAACATTTCAGCCTCGTATTATCCAACATTAAGTTTTGTCCTTTTGAAGTTTAGAAATAGTTTAGAAATAGTTATATATTAATAAAAGCTATGCGATTGTCAACAAAGCTGAATGGTACACTGTATTTGGAGAAGATTGTAGATTGAAATAGTGGTGTTGCAATATTCAGCTTGAAAATAAAAATGATTTCAGGGGGCCTAATATTGATCCTTTAAGGGGACACCTTTATCAACTACCTGCAGTACAGAGAAGGAGACCCACTTCAACAGAGCGTTTGATCAAAGTTTTTATTCTGTGAAAATGACAAGTTTTATTTTAACAAACATAATATTAAGTTTAATTTTAACAAAGTGTGACGACACTGTGGATGAACAGTCTGGCCTATGTTCACCTTGGGGTCAAAACTGAACTGTGACATCTTGGGAAATCCCTCATATTATATTTTAAATCACAAATGGCAGTTGACAAGAAAAGTAATTTTTCGATATTGGCAGTGTTTCTTTGTGCAGTCCCTGCAGTATTTACCTGACACCTCACAGTGTAAATAGACAGCCAATATGAACCGCTAAAGAAGCTCAAAGGCAGAATTTTCATGCACTCATATTAATAAAACGATCAGATTTGGATCAGTGTTAGTTTAGCTGTTAGCTATTCATCAAAACATGCCTGGATTTGCCATTACACAGATCCTTGGCTACTATAAGAGAATGCTGGTGATTAGATTGCAAACTTGTTTTAAGTTTAAACTGCATCACCTTGGTGACAGGTTAGATGACTCCACTCGCTCCAAAAGCTTTTGTCCACACAATACTTGTGTAATGTAGACCGAACCCGGAAACAGTGTCTTTCATGGTTGTCGATGAGGGGCAGGCTTCTCTCTTTGGTTACAATCTTCTGCTGTTAATGATACAAATTCATAGAGTTAACACTCACAGGCAGAACCTGCTCAAACCTACATTATCAACAAATCTGAGAGTGACTCTAAACTAAACTGAAGAAAAATTGATTAAAAATTGGTTGACAATTAGCCAACCATCAAGTATGCAACATGTATTTACCTCCCTATTTCCACCCCATCAGTTGTCATTTTGTTTGTGCTCATTGCCAAAATCTCTAGACATGCAAATATATGAGATTCTTGTTCCTGCCTGTCTGACCAGGATTCTGTTCACATGGACTCCTTTGTGGGTATTACGTTTCCCTGAATGTGGTGATCATATTTGTTACTATAACCTGACTTCTTCCTGCCTCAGATAGTAACACCCCTTAGAAACATCGCTATATATCTGTATTTTTGTTTTCTGCTCGGTCTACCCTGTGTGGGCAGAATGGGATAATTCACGTTAACTTTATATTTATTAAAGATGTCATGGTGCAACCACATTCATGTTTTAGTGATGCCAGGACTAAATATAAATTTAAAATAAGAAGGTCTAAAAGTGCAGTGAAAGATAATATTATAGATATATTAGAAGCTCAAAACTGAACGTTGCTGTTTTCTATGTAATTGTTTCTTTTATACAGATGGAGCCAATACATGTAACAGTGCTCTTCTACTAAGTGTGTGTTGTCATCTTTGCACATCCACATTAGCTTTTAGTAGTTCATAAGTTCAGGGACAGTCCCTGTTGTTAGACACGCCTCTATTTTTAGTGTGCCCATTCAAAAGAGATCAAGATGGAAAGTTCCACAATGGCAATAGGATTTTTGGAAAGAATAACTTTGGTTGCACGGTACAGAGAGTGTCTTAATCTTTGAAAACAAAAACAAATCATACTGATTGCATTTTTCCGTCAGGTCCCTCTTGAATGTGTTCCACCTCCCATTCGAGGCAATGTTCTGGAACACTCCAAACAGGACTTTCCCATTGTATCTCCAGCTGCATGTCTGGACCAGTTAGAAAATATAGCTTCTCTGTGGTCCCAGGTTTCACTGCATCGATATGCAAATAAATAAAAGGCGGTTACTGGATGCGAGCATTCAAAACATGAGGACAGTCATAACTATATCCTCACACGGTATTGTTGTTCTTCTCCAGAAAGCAAACATGCATGTACCGTGGTTTTGGATTTGCAGGGAGGTGAATGTTTGTTTCAGGGGTCCTTCAGGCGAGGACCCATTTATGCAGAAATTGATATCAGTGAAACTAGGAAGTTCATTCTCCGTGAAGTTGCATCCGCTCCTGACTCCACCTGTAATGATGTATTTCTTACATTCCTCAGCCCGTTCCAGTTTCTTGTGCCTGTGGAGGAGACAGACCACACAGAGCTGTTATCTGTTCATTAAATGTGTTGGTGAGGTTTGTGCTTGCTTACCTTAATTCTGCAGTGGCCTATGATTCATGGTAATTAGTATCACTAAACCTGACCTCAATTTGAAAGCTTCTACAGGGTTTTAGAGAGAAAGGTGTGCTTCACCCTGCATTGACTTTTACATGAATGCTCTGCCTTAACAAAAAACCCCTCCCTGGTTTTCAGTTGCAGCTGTCAACTTCACGGATGACACTTAAATTGAATAAAAGCTTCATGCTTCAACAAGTTTCAACAGTCAATGCAAAGTCACAGCAATGAAAACAAACAAAATGCCATATGACATCATCACACTGAAATTGTTTAACCCTTGCGTTGTCTTTGACCACAAGACTTTTATCGTCGCAGTTCGGTCAGGTTGGATTTTTCATGAAGCATAAAATGTAAATTATCACTAAATTATGTGTCACAGATTTTTATTCAACATCCCAACTCCACACCAATAAGTTTTCTTGTGGAATGTATGGTCAATAGACCTAATACTCATGAAAATATATCCAGTTTTTGAGTAAATAAATTTCACAATTTATGAATTTCTGTATGTGTGTGTTGTCTACAAACTCTGGTCCACATTTAGGAAAAAGCTGTGATGAAAACGTGTTTACACACTTGCAGCTTTGAACCCACAATTAATTCCAAAGCAATCCATCAAATACTAATGTTATAAATAGAGAGGTTGTCAATATTCTATTGGTTATATAGATGCAATCTGTCATGGTTAAAAAAACAGACGAGGTCTTACCAGAAATAGAGATTTTGCTGTGAGTTGGCTGGTATGTTTGGGTTTCTTTCCCATTTGCACTCCATGTTCTCCATGTTATGGTACACACAGAAGAAATCCCTGACACTGGTACCGACGACACCTAAAGGTAAAAGATCACAGTCGGTTCATATGCAATTTCCAAAACAGGATCCCATCACATCTCACTTATAAGTCCTCAGTTACCAACCTTTACTGGAAGGTTTCTGAACCAGTTCTGTGTAGCTCACACTCTTGACCATGGTGCCGTTGGTGCAGGGTCCATTCAGCAGCGTGTACACTCTCACTATGACGTCTTTCATCAGGTCAAACTGAGCGCTGTATGACCTCATAGGCGTCCTGATGGCCTGCACAAACACAAATCTGTCATTCAGCATATAGTTCACATTTAGATGTGTTTACTTTGTTAACACCATCAGCAGAGAACCTGGAATTTTCATGAGATATATTTTAATGGGAAAACTGACACTTTCCAAGTTGGCTGCTGTCAGTCCAGTTGGAAAAAAAGACTGAAGCCTCAGCTGGTAACTTGGGAAGAGCACGACCTGAAGGTTGTATTTCATACTTTAAACCTCAGCATGTCTATTAAATGTGTCCAAAGCTCAGGAGTTATGTTTATACACTTTTTCTCAGATCGTGTCATGTAGCGTTTGAGTGATAAACTGTTGAGATGCTGCCCACAATAAATGTTCCTGACACCAGAACACATGAGTGAATCTAGGTTGTGTGAAGAGTAAAAATTATTAAAGAATTTCATTAAGTCACAGTTGAGCTTTCACAGTGGTTGTGTTTCATACTTTACTTAAAACATCTATAACTCTGTAGAGAGCACACCTCCTTCCAGCCCAACAGTTCCCTTAAATTCAATCAAGCTGCATCACATTTCACACACTCATAGATATCAGTTCCCTTAAAATATGCCTGATTTTTTTCATCTGGATGCATATTGCCTGGGAAATAAGAGAACATTTAAAAAAATGCCCAATCTGACAATGTTAAAGAAACCAATGAAAAGTTCCTAGAAAATCCTTCTGGTTCATTTTGCACCATCTTGCACATAAACAAACATCCAATGGCTAGACAGGGGTGGAAACATAACCTCCTTTGATGAGGTTAGACCATATGAGATATGTTCTCTGTCACCCAACCGTCAACTCTGCATTCACCACTTATGTTTCCACTAACCAGTATGCTTCAAAAAAGCCAAACTACAAAGTGCTACATGTAAGTGCCATATGAGTGCAACTTTTTTTTTTTAATCCAAGGTGTAGTTGGAAGAGATGTGTCTTTTGTCTATGGTGAAAGATGTGTGGACTTTCTGCTGTCCTGATGTCAATGGGGAACCTGTTCAACCATTTAGGAGCCAGGAGAGCAAACAGTCGTGATTTTGTTGAGTGGTTGGCTCGCAGTAAGGGAGTAGCAAGCCGATTGGCAGAGGCAGAGCGGAGTGGACGGGCTGGGGTATAAAGTTTGACCATGTCCTGGATGTAGACTGGACCCAATCTGTTCACAGCACGGTACGCAAGCACTTGCGTTTTGAAACGGATGCGGGCAGCCACTGGTAACATGCGAAGGGAGCGGAGGAGCGGAGTATTGTGCGTGAACTTAGGTAGATTACAGATCAGTCGAGCTGCTGCATTCTGGATGAGCTGCAGCAGTTGGATAGCACTAGCGGGTAGACCAGCCAGAACCTGGACCAGAACCTGCACCACCTTCTGAGTAAGAAGGGGACGTATTCTCCTGATGTTGTGCACGATGTGTCTACACAAGCGGGTTGTTGTAGAAATGTTGGCAGTAAGGGAGAGTTGACTGTCAAGTGTCACACCCACGTTCCCAGTCTGGGTGGGGATTACTAAGAATCCAAGATCCATGAAAATATGTCTGTAATGTACTATAATGTACTGTACTCCAAGAATTAAATCCCCACATCTTTTTTTCTGCTTCTTCTTTTATGACAAATCATTTCCCATTGTTCAAGCAATAAGTCTCCTTATTGTGAGGGTTGACATCTAGGAGTAAGGGCACCGCCCTGGTAGTTAGGTTTGGAGACCTCCCAGCCTTCATAAGAACAGGTGCAGGCAAATACTGCTTCTTTGTCTGATGCCTGGTGGGTGGTGACTGCTGTGTTTTCACAGTTAAGCGAGACTGGGAGAAAGAGAAATTATATTTGCGTCTTGTACATTCAGTTCGGTAGCTGTGTCTTGACCCAGATTTCTGCTTCCCCATGTTTGAGAGAAGATTCAGGGTTCACCTCTCCCCTGTTTGAGCTACAGTTCAGAGATAGTGTTGTATGGCCACTGGTTTCTGCCTTGGTTTTATACTGTTGGCCCAGCATTTCATGCATGATATTCCTGATTGACTTTTTGATATTTAACTGTATTGATTGATTTAGATATTATATTGAGACCCTGACCCAACTGAGTCTCTCACTCTTTTCCTTGGTTTAGGCAGTTGGACGACCTACAACGAGAAGTCGTGGGATGCACATCACTTTGCATGCAGTTTTGCAGGCCTGATAGGTGGTGGTCACTTGAACAGTGTATTGTGGTTTTGTCCTTACAGTGTGAGTTGCCATGGTAGTGATCACTGTGTGCTCACATGGTGGTGTCTATTGGGGTTTGTGATAGAATCTCCCTGTAGTAAGTACGCTGCCGACATAATAGTCCCCACTATTTAGGGTTAAGTCTGTTGTATCTCTGTAGTCTCAGTATTTGTTTTAGCTTTTATAAACATTTTCAAATAAAAAGTTGTTTTTACTGTTTTCCTTTCTCAGGTCTGCCATTCTAGTCCTCCCATTATTAGACAAAGATTTAATTGTGAACTGAATGCACGGGTCACACTTTCTAAATCAGTGATATTAAATGGATAGTTAATTAATACAATTGAAGTAAATGATGAGTATTTTTTCAAATGTAAAAAACATAAATCCTCCATACTGCTCCTGTGGTGTCATTCAAATTCTAAACGAAACCTTGTAATTTATGTTTTTTGCCTAAATGTCCGCTGTGATCCAGGTGCGAATGTGGTTCCAGAGGAGGATATCAGAAGATGTCCAGTGTCCTATGTTTTGTGGACTCAAACACTTCAACCACCCATCTAACGCCATGGTGGTGAGTAGATAATGAGAATTATGATTTTTGGGTGAACTATCCCTTTAAGATTTCTGCCACTTCACTGTCTAATTATGAAAATCCTTGTTATGTTCAGACACGTGTAAGATTATGATTAAGATTCCTCTTTATTGTGCCACACACAGCATGCAAACATGGGGAAATGTGACCTCTGTATTTAACCCATCCGTGTGAACACAGCACACACGGAACACAATCCACACAGTGACCACACGGAACAGTGGGCAGCCATGAAGGTGCCCGGGGAGCAATTGGGGGGTTTGGTGCCTTGCTCAAGGGCACCTCGGCAGTGCCCAGGAGGTGAACCGGCCACCCTCCGGTTCCTAAGCCAAGTCTCTGTGGACTGAGCTACTGCCTCCCCATTAACATAGTACACCATTAACATAGACTTGCATAGAGTATTTAAAAGAGAGGTGGAGCGGGGTCTACAGAGATATCAAAAACATTTTGTCTGATTGTCTAATCTGTGCACCAAAACATAATCTGAGCAAAGTTGGAGAAACATGTACATGTAGGCTTCATGCATGTAATCATACACAAATTGTTTACTGTGGTAGATGAGATCATTTTAGAGAATGTAATTAACTTTATAATCTGTTATTATGCTTGTCCACTCATTTACAAAATTACCATATGCATGATTATTTGAATATGAATGATGATCCCATACCATCCACCTGTCCTTGTACGTGTTGAAGTACTCCAGCTGGTACATTGTGTTGCACTCTGTCATGTTGATCAAGCTGGCCGGGGAGCTCCATGTAATGTTTAGTCGTCCAAACTGACCAGGGTCTAATATCACGAGGTCCTCAGGAGGATCCACTGCAAGTGAAAAGATTGTTTACCTCTGCTGGCTGTGTTCATTTGAAAAACTAATTTAGTATGAGTGTTGACACCTAGTTGGACAAATCCAACCATCCATTGTCTTCTGCTAAAAAAACATACAAGTCCAATACAATTTCCAGCTCTTTCTGGGTAATCCTGAGGTGTTCCCAGAACAGATAAGATATGTAAAGGTCTGGTCTAACCCAAGGTTTCAGGGAGTAAAAAACACAGTAGCAATAAAACAATGGCCAAGAAGAAAACACAACATGAAACGCATTAAAATCAACCAAGGATTTTAATCTGGAGTAAATAATACACCACGGTTAAAAGGAAAACAAGATGATGATATCCTATTAGTTTAAAGTCTTTTTTTTTTTTATGTTGTTGGTACATGAGGCGATCTTTTCAATTTGCACCTCTAGATGTATGATACAGATGAACTGTCAATCATCTCCTGGCTCTGCAGAGAATTTTTACATCAAATGAATTACATTTAATATTCAAATTGATTTAATTTATTTTTATTTTTGGTTTCCACAGTGTATTAAAGCATAAGTAAATGAAGGTACAGTGAACGCATGCAGACAAACCGTTAAATCCAGTCCAGTCCTTGCAGGATACCAGGAGCAGCATCAGTGTAGCTAGATGAGTCACAGAATGTTTTATCCCCATCAGTGTATTTCTGCTTCTATCCAACACTGAACTAATACAAAATAAACAGATTAGAAATATCTTGATGATGTCCCAAAATAGTTTCAGAGAGATATATCCCTTGGTTAAAAATAAAACCAAATTAGAGTTAGATTTAAATTAGATTAGATAAAAAATAATTGCTGCTCTCAGAGATGCAGACGACTGTATCTGAGGAATGAGTTTTCCTTCTGCAGCAAGTTGAAACACAGCTGAGACTCAACATGGGCTGGACCCAGTCTCTGTGCATATACCAGACTGAGAGGGACGTGTCAGGAAGAGGTAATGTGTTGTTTCCACTGAAATTACACTGAGTCATGCCTCTGTTAATCAGTGGGCTACATCATACTTTTTGTTTTGTTTTTGACTCATAGGGTTATCTAAACATACAATAACTGTTGGATATGTGTAAAAACCCCAGCAACAGATCAAAAGACAATGTTTTCCTGTTGGATATGTTTGAATACGTTGTTGGGTGTAGGAAGATAAGATTAATTAAAAGGAAAGCCTTGTGCCAGCTACACTCCAAGATTCCAGTAACAGTACAATAGACAATAGAGTGCAATGGAATAAAACAAGCATAAACAATTTCAGTACAAATAAAAATATGAAATGTATAATAAGTACAATAAAAAAATGACTAAATGGGTATATGGACTAAATGCAAAACATAGCTAAATAGAAAAAAACAAGAGAAAAGTTACATGAGACTGTGAACTAATACTAAACTAACCTGGCAATAGAAAGTATTAATGCAAACAATATTGGGAATGGGTTTTACGGGAGTAATACCACAATATTAAATATAATATGATGCTTAACATTATATTAATATAATATTGCACATGAATAGTAATATTGCACATAGTGTTATTTTTACATTTTGCATTACGTACAAGCACAAATACACATACAGAAATGAACAGAAAATGCCAAAAATGTTGTGGAGTAGAAATATTTGCTGATATAGGCAGTAGAGTAAAAGTGAAAAGTTCATGAATATAAATCTACTTGAAAGTACAAGTACATCAAACATGTAATTAAGTAACATAAGTAAATGCACCTTGTTGCATCCAACCACTAATTACATATCATTTTCTCAAAGTTTGGGAAAAGTCTGTTTCTTATGAAATGTCAGTTTTTCACTGTTTAAACACGTAACCCTGCTCTGAACAGCTGTTGACCGGAGCTAAATCTGGGGCAAAACAATTTTGCTATGTAGAAAGCATGTAATGAAGACAAGCCAGTCAAAGGTGCAAAGAATTTGACTTTATTTCATATTGACCACGTTTGTCTGTTTTTTTTTTCTTAAGAAAACCCCTGGGATTTATTTATACAGATGATATGTACAGGTTCGGTCATTCAGTATTGTTGCATGCATTTGACTTTTTTAAAATACAAAAAGCTTGTTGTATACTTGAGCTTGACATTTCTCGGCAGTTTTCATTTTAACATGACTCACTGTTTTCTGTAGATGAGATGACAAATGATAAAAAATTTCAAGCAACTCTGTTGTGGCACGCATATCAGTCAGTGGGTACAGATGTGCAACGGACCAATCCTCAAAGACATTAAAACATTTCAAAATGTCTATTGAGAGAAACATAAGTCTACTGTCATTTTGTTCATTCTGGCCATGAAGGAATCTCATTGTGATAGGATTCTAACATAAGTGAGGGGGAACAGTCCTAGTTTTGCGTAAAAGGAAAAATCCATTCAGCATCTTACATCTTTTCCTCATCTCTCATCTTTTGGCACCAAATTACATATTTTTGTTGTTATGAAATGCTGTCCTGGGAGAGAATATATCCCCCTAAAAAACCACACACAGCAGATTAGCAAAGAACCGATCAGAGTCCTGAATCCCTCAGAGTTCAGAAGCCACTGTTACAAAGATCTCCTCAAAGCGGAGGAATGATTACAGCCACCCAAAACAGTTTCAGGTGTGTAAATCAGATCGTATGTGATACAAGTTCTGCAGGAGCTGTGTGTGTGTGTGTGTGTGTGTGTGTGTGTGTGTGTGTGTG